GCATTTTTTAAAGATTTATTTATTTATTTATTTATTTATTTATTATGTATACAGTGTTCTGTCTGTATGTATGCCTGCACACCAGAACAGGGCACCAGATCTCATTACAGATGGTTGTGAGCCACCATGTGGTTGCTGGGAATTGAACTCAGGACCTCTGAAAGAACAGTCAGTGCTCTTAACCTCTGAGCCATCTCTCCAGCCTATATTTAGCATTTTTAACAAATAATAGAACTGGTGGATGAAAATTATGTTAATACAGTGGACTACCACACAGCAATATAAATGAACTATTGCTATACAAAAGCATATAGATGAATCTCACAAATACATTGCTAAAAGAAAAGAATATATATACTGTTTAAATAAAACCCATGAACTACCAACACTGTTTACTGTGTTTGAAGCCCAGGAAGTGATACCTTCTGTAAAGGAGGGAGGGGTAGAATGATTGGGAGGGAACTTTACAGGACTTACTGGGTTGAGAGTGTCCTATGTATTATTCTGTGCAACATTTGAACAAGTGCATTTACTTCACACAAGTTTTTTCGACTCTCTTGAATTTGCTTTCTACTTAAATAAATAGGTTGCTAGTTGGAGCTCATGATGTAGTCAAAGTGCAATATCCAATTATTTGGTTATACACAAAATCAAAATATTGCCAACACCACCTTCATGACTTACTGAGAATGTTATTTTAGCTCATTTTCTACTCTTAGCTAAAGGCTCCCAGATTGTTTCACCTTAGGTTTAACTCACACATGAGCCAGTAGTTCTGTGTATTTTTTAAATGTATGTAAGATAAGTCATTAGTTTTTTTTTCTTTTCTTTTAGATGCAACATGTAACATTAAAAATGGCAGGTGCAAGCAGTTTTGTCAAATGGGTGCTGATAACAAGGTACTTTGTTCCTGTACTGAGGGATACCAACTTGCAGAAGACCAGAAGTCCTGTGAACCAGCAGGTCAAAATCTAAATAAGCTATTTAATGAAAATCTGTTTCTGAATCTTAAACTACCTTACTTTGGACTTTAAAAAGATTTATTTATTTTTATTTTATGTGTATGAGTATCTTGTGTGCATGTATGTATTATACAATGTGTGTGCAATGCCCATGGAAGTAAGAAGAGGGCATCAGACCCACTGAAGTAGAGTTACAGAGGCTGACTGAGCTAACGTGGAGGTTCTTCACTGCTCTCTAGAACTCTAGTTAGAACCCAGGTTCAGTTCCTTTGCACGAATAGTCAGTGCTCTTAACCACTGAGAAATTTCTTTAGCTCCTCGATTACCTTACCTGTGCCTACTTCCTTCTGCAACTGAAAAAAAGATTAGTAGCTTGAAATGACAAAATATTTTTCCAAATGGCACCATCAATTAAATTCATTAGCTATGTACAGCTTGAATTCTTTTCTGGGTCCACTTTTTTTTCTCTGATTTCTATATCACAAAGAAATTGATTTGTAGGGGCCCAGAGCGAGGCCTCCCCCCAGGTCTGGGGCGCTCCCAGAACAAATGACACCCCAGAGAGCTCCGCCTAGTTCACAGGATAAAATCCCACAGCAGAACTCAAGAGTCAGCAATGGCTGAGCCCCAGGTGGTTGTGGCTCCTGTGCTAATGTCTAAGCTGTCTGCAGATGCCCCTGAATTTTACCCCTCGGGTTATTCTAACTATACCGAATCCTATGAGGACGGTTGTGAGGATTGCCCCACGCTATCAGAATATGTTCAGGACTTCCCGAATCATCTCACAGAGCAGCCTGGCAGTTTTGAAACAGAAATTGAACAGTTTGCAGAAACCCTGAATGGATGGGTCACAACAGACAATGCTTTGCAAGAACTTGTGGAACTCATCTACCAGCAGGCCACATCTATCTCAAATTGCTCTTACATGGGAGCTCACCTGTGTAACTAACTACCTGTCCCATCATCTGACAATTAGCCCACAGAGTGGCAATTTCCGCCAATTGCTACTTCAAAGGTGCTGCTGGACGGAATATGAAGTTAAAGACCAAGCTGCAGAAGGAGACAAAGCGACTCAAAAAACGATTTCATTCTTTTGTTCTGTTTCTGGGGGAACTGTATCTTAACCTGGAGATCAAAGTAACAAATGGGCAGGTTACAAGAGGAGATATTCTTCAGGCTGGCCCTTCTGGAACTGGGGAATGCTCTGTTCTCCAATCCTAAGGATGCCAACTTAATTTGTGCAGTAAAATTGCTAAAGTTGACAGGGTCACTTTTAGAAGTTACTTGGAAGGAAAGGGGGAAAACTGATGTGGAAGAAGTAATTCAGAGAATTGAAAATGTTCTAGATGCAAACTGCAGCAGAGATGTAAAACTGGTGCTCTTGAAGCTCGTACAAGTTCAATCAAGTAACTGGGGCAGGGTCCATGCAATGTCAAGAAACAGAGAAGCTACCCCTGAAAATGACCTTAACTACTTTATGAATGAACCAACATTTTATACATCTGATGGTGTTCCTTTCACTGCAGCTGACCCAGATTACCAAGAGAAGTATCAGGAGTTACTTGAAAGAGAGGACTTTTTTCCAGATAATGAAGCAAATGAAACAGATTTATCCAGGGCTTGTGATCCATACTTGGATGATACTGATGGTGAGATGGACCCAGAGACTGAAGAAGCTTATGAAAAGTTTTGTTTGGAATAATCGAAAACAGTAAAGTTAAATTTGAGGCTATTGGGTTTGTTTTTCTTTTGTTTTTGTTTTTTTTTTTAAGTTTAGGTAAGGTGATTTAGCGGAGCACAGGAAAGCAAGAAACTGTGTCTGTCTTGTACCAAATTAAGGATTTGAGTTATGTTACTAATGTATGCAACTTTAATTTTGTTTAACACTACCTGCCAAAATAAACTTTATTCCCTGTCACTTAAAAAAGAAATTGATTTTTGTAATCTCTATTTGCAATATTTGAGATTCAGCAGATAAAAAAAAGACATGTACTTAGCTGACTAGTAAGTTTCTAATAAAAAAATGCTAAGTGCTAAGCATAAGTCTAATGGAGGCCTAGTTAGTTCAGTGTGTGAAAATTACTTCCTGACTTGAGTCATAAGCTGGCTTTCTATACTTGTCAGACTGCATCCAGCAACTGTTTATGCTCTCCTAGGCTGAGCCACACAGTCTTTACAGTAAACAACAAAACAACGTTTCACAGTTGTGTGAGCATGCTGCCATGTTATGTTACAAATAATTGCTATATTTAGAACATCTCCACATTCATTGTTTAACTCTGATGACATAGTTTTGATTTGGGGGGAAGGGGGAGACAATCTTTGCAAGACTAAAGGAGGAAAATAAAGTACCTGGTATGCAAACATGGGGACCTGAGTTCAGATCCCTAGTACATAAAAGCCAGGCAGTGTAAATCCATAACACCAGCCCTGGAGGAGAGGGGAAGATATAACCACCCAGAAATGGTGAGCTCCATGTTCAGTGAAAGACCCAGTCTCAGAAAGTAGTTTAGAAAGCAAAGAAATAAATGAGGAGGATGCTTGATGTCAACCCTGGCTTCCACCCATGCAGGCTTGGCCACTCACATCAGCACACATATGTACCCACTCACATATACCACACCCACAAATAAAAAAGAAGCACAATTTTGAAACAAGCCAGATACAGTTCCTCCTGCATTTCCAAAGCAAGATCTCTTATTAAATTGGTACCTTAGATTATGAACCATTCCGCTGTAACTGTGGCTTTGATACCTATCTCAGCAATGTACCAGGCAGAGGAAATTAAAGAAAGGCCCAGAATACAAGAGTATGTCTGCTGCAAGTAAAATGATGCATCACCTTCTGCCTGTCCTTCTGCCTGGTTCTTCACATACACTGCCTTACCCACGGCTGGCCCTCGGAGAAGTGTGTGTGTGTGTGTGTGTGTGTGTGTGTGTGTGACATGCCATCTGTGCACACTTAACATTAAAAAAAGCTAACTTCCAGTGAAGGCAGCTGGCACAGAACCTTAGTCCTTAGAAGCCCTTCTATGTTCTGAGAGAGGAAAATTAAAATTGAAAAGCACCTCCAACTATTGAGAGTTCCATTTGAATGTAGCCTTAGCTTTAGCAGAGTAAGTAGGGCAAACCTAAAATAAGCTGTTCTGCCTTTTCAAAGATAACGGTCCCTTTCCTCAAGCCATTGTTGATCCTGTATATTTATGCATAAGTATTTTAAACTAATTTCCTATTTTTTAACCACAAGCTGCCTTCGTGATACTTAGCCATAGCTGGTTGCTATAGAAATGTCTGTTATATGAAAGGTAACTAAGAGGAGAAGAAAACATGAAAATGAAGTGTGAGGTGACTTCGTTTGGCTACAAATATCCATTCTGGCGCTCCCCAGTTTATTAGTAGATGATTTGATGGGAATTAAAACAAAGTGGAGGAAAGATGGTCATAGCACATACATATAACTTTGGTTATGCTATTAGTAACCTATACCTATTTGGCAAATTCTGGACAAATATAATTGAGTCACAATGAGCTCTCTTCAAAACTTCCATGTTGGAATCTCTGGTGCATTAACAGTCAACAAAAGAGACTCTGTTGATAGGAAGTAGTGGAAGGAAGCCACTTTTACCTGATCCTAGAAGGAAAGTTACATAGTATTCCTTCCAGCTTTCCATTCAGGAGAAGGGGGCTTGGAAGTAAGACTTTAATTAAGAAGGTAGATAGAAAGTAATTCGATTTTTTTTAAGTTCTAGCAAACTTGATTTCAGAACACCTATTTTATTCCCATAAAGATGGTGGATTTCAAAGCCAAATGCTCTCTCCCATGGAAGCTTTAAAATCTTTGCATGAAAATAATGCAGTCAGCCCTTAGTTTGAACCTATATTCATTTTTACTCTCCAAAGTGACAGCAATGATTGAGCATCACTCTCAAGTTTTGTAATGCAGTTCCTTTTGCCACTGGGAAATAGAAGAATATTCTCCTCTTTTTCTATTTCTGCAGTTCCATTTCCATGTGGAAGAGTTTCTGTTTCCTCCAGTTCTAAGAAGCTCACCCGTGCAGAGACTGTCTTTTTTGATATGGGCTATGAAAATTCTACTGAAGCTGAATTCATCCTGGATGACCTCACTAACAGCACCTTTCTGGATAACGTCACTGAAAATAGTGAATCATTTAATGACTTCACTCGAATTGTTGGTGGAGAAAACGCCAAACCAGGTCAAATCCCTTGGCAGGTACTTGATATTGATAGTGTGTCTAAAAGCTGGAGCTCAGATGGCAAAAGACAGGCCAGATGAGGAGTGGTGCTATGACATTAGAAAGACCTATGGGGATTGTGAGGGATATTTAGGTAGATTTCATCACTCAGCAAAATAAAACCCCCTACAGGTAAGCATCTGGTAAAAGACATGTTCAGGGACAGCTACCAGACAAGGTCAAAAAAGAATCTGGTACTAAGCAAATAGCACAGTAGGATTCCAAACAACTGGCCAGCAGGAATGTCTATAAATGAATGTCCTCTGTCTCTGTCTCTGTCTCTCTGTGTCTGTCTGTCTGTCTGTCTGTCTGTCTGTCTGTCTGTCTGTCTGTCTGTCTGTCTCTCTGTGTCTGTCTGTCTGTCTGTCTGTCTGTCTGTCTGTCTGTCTGTCTGTCTG